ATTGTGGGGATCGCGCCCTCTTGACGCCCCCGTTCTGCAGCGCGCGGGAATCTCAACGTTCTTGAGTTCTCCGTGCTGCAGAAAACGGGTGCTTCAATTTTTTTTATTTTTTTTTCCGAAATTTGCTAGATCTATTCTTAAACACGTGTTTTTACCTAAATTGGAATTGAAACTAATTAAAAGTAGTAGGAAATCGAAAACTTACCGGAATCGAGCCTCGTTTGTACGGTTTGAATGTCGAAAAATTTTTACGAAATTCAAATTTCTAGAGAGTGTTTGGGAGTAGGAGAGAGAATTTGCAAGTTGGAAAAATTAAAATGAAAAAGCTACCGCTGCAAATAAGCCAATTTCAGTAAAAGTACCGCTGCAAATAGTAACACCCTTTTTAAAAACGTAGCTAAACAAATCGGACCATCATATAGTTTAATTATTTTCTCAAAAACAAAAAAAAAAGGTTTAATTGCAAATTAAATTATTTAATATCTTCCACTTAGATTTACTCTCTCTCCAGTAGAACCCGTACAGTGCGTACTGTACACTGTACAGTAGTAAGAGGAAACAGAAGAAGAGAGTGGAAAATGTATGAAGGGTTTTGATTAGTCAAAGAAAGGTAGCTATCAATCTGCCTGCATGGAAATTCCGAAAGCTGTAAGAAGTAGAGAAATAAACAATTTGCCGTATTGACAACTTCGGTCAATCCATCATTTAATCAAATACACGCAAGAAACCGTATCGTTTTTCTCTTCCCTTTTTATTTTCTTCTTCGTCTTCTTCGCACGCGGATTCGGAATCCTTTAGTTTTTATTTTATTTTATATACCCACAAAAGTCTCGCAGAGAGAGCGCAAACCATATTTTCAAATGTGTACATTTGAGTTTTGAGAGTGCCCATTAAGTGTTTGTAGAAATACCTCTGTAAAAAAAAAAATTCTTTTTTTTTTGGTTGTGATAAAAGATGGCATCCGCGGCGGTGTTTTCGTCGTTGAGGAAGCGGAGATCACCGCCCCTGGAGGCGTTTCTGGCGCCGGTGCACGTGTCAAACGCTGTCGTTTTGGAGACTATCTCTGCTGTATCCTCGGAGCTGGTGTCATCGTATTCAGGCAGCAGCAAAACGATGCCGTTTTTCCAGGTGAAGAATTCGAGATCTTTAATTCGGAAAATCCAGGTGATTTCTGTTCTGCTAGATGCTTTTCGTGATGTGGGATTCTCGGAAACTGCTTCCACAGTGCCTTTATGCTTCAAGGAGTTGTACCTCCTGCTTCACAGGTCTAAAATCTTGATTGATTATGTCAAAGGGTCGAGTAAATTGTGGCTGTTACTCCAAAACCATTCCATTTCTGGTCATTTCCATGATTTGAATCAGGAAATCTCCACTCTTTTGGATGTTTTCCCTTTGGGTGAAATCGATTTACCCGAAGATGTTAAAGAACAAGTTTTGTTGCTATGCAAACACTCTACGAAGTCGAAATTGTTTACCGATAAGCATGACGATTTCTTGAGGTTGAAGTTGTATTATTTCTTGAATGAATTCGATAGTGGAAGAATACCCGAAAGGAGCGAGCTTCACGCATTTTTCATCGAAAAGTTAGGGATATCCAATGTGGAAAGCTGTCGATTTGAGATCGAATTCTTGGAGGAGCAAATTGTGAATCGTGCTGGTGATATTGAGCCTACGTCCTCCGTTATCAACGGCTTTGTGGCTTTAGCACGGTACTGTAGATTCTTGCTGTTTAGATTCGAGGACGAGGCTGAATTAGGACGGTGGAATCAAAACAAGGCGAAGAAAGGATTTATTACAGAGGAGATTGCAGGCACATCTATTACAATCCCGAAGGATTTCTGTTGCCCTTTCACACTCGATTTATTGAAGGACCCTGTAATAGTATCCACAGGGCAAACGTACGAACGCGCATCGATTTCAAGATGGATGCAAGAAGGGCATCTCACTTGTCCTAAAACAGGGCAGATGCTGGTGCACACTAAATTGGTGCCAAATCGAGCGATGAGAAATTTGATCACGCAATGGTGTACGGCGAACGAGATACCATATGATCCACCAGAGAATCCGGATTATTCCTCCGAAAATTCGTTCGCATCTTCTCCAAGTAAAGCCGCAGCCGAAGCTACTAAAGCCACGTCCAGTCTCCTCATCGAACAGCTGGCTAACGGAACGGAAAAAGCCAAGACTGTAGCTGCCATGGAGATTAGATATTTGGCAAAAACGGGGCGAAAGAATCGAGCTTGCATTGCTGAAGGTGGTGCTATCCCTCTTCTTGAAAAATTGCTGTCATCTTCGGATTGTTTCGCACAGGAAAATTCGATAACCGCAATTTTGAACTTGTCGATTTACGACAGGAATAAAGGGGTTATTATGGGTGTGGAAGGTTGTTTGAGGGCTATTGTTTGGGTTTTGAGAAACGGGCTTACAGTCGAGGCCCGTGAAAATGCAGCAGCAACTTTATTCAGTCTTTCGGCTGTGCACGATTTCAAGAAACAAATAGCCGAAGAAGATTATGCCATAGAAGCTTTAGCTTCTCTCTTGAGAAACGGAACTCCACGTGGGAAAAAAGATGCCGTTACAGCTTTATTCAATTTATCCACACACATAGAGAACTGTGGAAGAATGATCGAGTCAGGAGCAATAACGGTATTAGTCGAAGCCCTCGATTTCGAAGGTGTATCGGAAGAATCTGCAGGTGCACTGGCCCTTATTGTACGACAGCGGTTAGGGGCTGAGGCGGTGGCAAAAGAGGAGAAAGCGGTGGCTGGGTTGATCGGAATGATGAGATGTGGGACCCCTAGAGGGAAGGAGAATGCGGTGGCGGCATTGCTCGAACTGTGTAGGAGTGGCGGTGCCGCCGCTCTGGAGAGGGTGGTGAAAGCTCCGGCGATGGTGGGGCTGTTGCAGAGCTTGCTTTTTACGGGTACGAAACGGGCTAGGAGAAAAGCGGCTTCGCTTGCTCGGGTTTTCCAGAGGTGTGAAAATGGTTGGTTGCATTTTGGAGGGTTGGGTGTTGGGTATGCATTTGCTGGAGACTTGGATGTGAATAGAGATACAATGTCTGTTGCAATTTCTGTGCCTGTGGTATGATTTGTTTGTTTTTATCTGTATTAGTTGCAATTTATTTATTATTATTTTTCATTTAGATAATGATTTTGGTGTACTTAGAAGAAGAGGTTTGTATACATATATATTTTGAGGGTATATATATATATATATATATATATATATATATATATATATATATATATATATTATGAAATTTCAGAAATGTGCACTGCAAGTTAATTTATCATATCAAGAAATGTTTCATGATACTCAAGTTCTAATTTTGAATTGTCTAAGCTTTTCAGACAATGTACATTTCATTGAAAACGATAGAGCAATAAAAGTAAGTGGATCAACAAGACACAAATATATTATGTGGGCCCAATTTCATGATTTAAAAGGCCAATCACGTTTGTTAGGAGTTAGCATAGAATAATTGGAAATCAATGATCAATTTTGCTAAGATCAAAGATGAATTACATCATGCTACAATATATCAAGAAAGGGAACAATAATAGAACCCATAATTTAGTTAAGGGTACTACAAATGTCTCGTACCAAAAAGAGTGATCTTCATACTACATAAGTAATAGCTGAGCTAGAATTTTAACTTCGCGGAAGTCGAATGCATTAAAAAAATTACGAGGATGGGCCATTACTGATATTATAATTTTTTTAGAAAAACTATATAAACTAATAGGAATTTGAAAAATGTTGGGAGGAGGGAGGGGCATGGCCCCCTTACCCTCATGCGGACTCCGCCATTGCATATAAGAAATATGTTGAACTGTGGTTCTAATTGTTGGATTAACGCCTAATGCACTAGATGTTTAAGTGTATGGATTATGTACGTGCAGTTGTGCACGTGAGTGTGCACATGGAGGTTGTTATTTGCAGCTCATGACTTGGAAGAATCGTAACAAATTCTATTAGCTGACAGATAAATATGTAGTGCACATGGGATCATGTAACTTGAAGTAAAGTATATACAAATTTAACATTATTATACCACCATCACCAAACCTAACCTCTAAGTTAATAATGAGATCATAGACTTTATAATAAAAAAAAATAAAAAAAAAATAACTTAGGTCCCCCCTCAACTAATAATAATAATAATTATTAAAATAATTATACAAAAAAAGTAAATATAAGAAACTCTAAAAAGTAGGAGAAAGTGGGTAAAGTGGTCACAAGATCTACAAGGCGTGGGGGCTTTTATTTTCTTAACCGCCCCTCTTCCTAACTGTCTATTAATCCTACGAACTCCATTATTCTTTCTTCTTCTTCAAACTATAATAATAAAATAATAATCAAAACCTCATAAATTTCCCTTTAAATTATTTGGAAAATTTAAATTAAAAAAAATGAAGTGGGGTAGAAAGAAATCATCTTCACCTTCTTCTTCTTCATCTCACTCCTCTATAATATCTCGTGTTTTTCCAGTTTCTTCTTGGCTGTCCAAATTCAGACAAAAAAAATTCGATCTTGATGTTAACAAACCAGACAATAAGAAGCCATGTTTGTCTGATTCTGGTTGGGAGAAAGGGATGAGATTCTACAGCATGGATGAAGACGATGCTTATTGGAAGCTTTCTTTTCGCGAACAAGAAGAAGAAGAAATGGTGAAAGCCAGAAAAAGTACAGGTGGCATTAACCCTGTTTGGGGTCGTGGTTTCGATCAATTTCGTGTTGGTTCGAGAGAAATGGAGTTTACGAAAAGGGTCGATGAATTGAAGTTCAGCGAGATGGTTTCCGAGGTAAAGAAGACAAAAGAGAGAGAAAAACTCATGCAGAAGAGCTCAACAAAGGCGGATTGCGCGTTCGATGAAATTATTAGGGTTAAGACGATAAGCGGAGAATCGCGTGGGAGAAAGAATTGTAATAGGGTGAAGGTGAAAGCGTATTCGCCGAGGACAGAGTGCAAAATTAGAGCGATCGAAGAGATGAAGAAAGCGAGGATGAGAATGAAGAAGAAGATGGAAAATGGTGCGGAGGGCAAAACGGTCTTTGACAGCTTTGCGGTGGTGAAGAGTTCGTTTGATCCGGAACGGGATTTTAGGGAATCGATGGCAGAGATGATAAGGGAGAGGGGAATATTCCGGCCGGAGGATCTTGAAAAGCTATTGGCTTGTTATTTGACGTTGAATTGTGACGAGTACCATGACGTCATCATCTCGGTTTTTCGGGAGGTGTGGATGGAGATGAACGGGGTTTATAATAACGATTATCGGATGCAGAACGAACGATTGTTTTGATTCGTAGGAGAAGTGTTTAGAGTGTTAATTAGCAATGCTTTTATTTTAATGTTATAAGATTGTGAACAAAAATTATCTCTTACATTAGTAGCAAATGTTAAATTTTATTTGAAATTGATAAATTAAGGTTTATAGCTCTTGTTGAAATAGAATGCTACATTTATTGGTTATGTAATATTTCACAGCAACCGAAAAATTAAATTAAATTCAAGATTATGATGTCATCTATAACTTGGGAAGCAGATATATAATACAAAGTATCAATTTATAACATCAATGGCCCATTAGCTCAGTTGGTTAGAGCGTCGTGCTAATAACGCGAAGGTCACAGGTTCGAGACCTGTATGGGCCAATTTTTTTTTAATTTCGTGATTTATTTTGCAGTTTTGCTGCACCTGCACTCCTTTTAAAATTTGGCAGCTACTTGTTGTGGAAATTACCATTTTTAACCAAATTAAATCTTCTTTTCCTTGTGAGATTCCGATCCAAAATTTACGAAAGTTTCAATGTATTTTCGATTAAATTACATCAATAATATTATGTATTGTTGATGAAAAAGAAATTCCTGAATTCAACCAATTGTGATCCAAAGATTTCCGATTTTTTTTTCGTTCAATTTTTAAAAATCACAACATTTTCTCGAGATCTTTTGGAAATGAAATGAAGGAATAAGTGCATTTTTCCGAACAGCGTTCTTTCCAAATCTGATTCAATCCGTCCCCCGATTTCCACCGCTAAGTCCAATTACAGATTTTCTTCCCTTTAATTACCAGTTACCACCACTCCAAACAATACATCTTCAATAAAAGACTAGTAAAAATAAATAGCAAAGGGAAAATCAAAAGATACAACAATTCAAATGAAACATAACTCTTTCTATAGTAAATTTGAACACAATTGAATCACATTGAACACAGCCTCTGTTCAACTCTGTATAAACTAACAACACCCGAAAAAAAAAAAAAAGGTAAAAACATGAAAAAAGAATCAAGAAATATCCTCAAGAAAATCAATCACCACTAAATTCCCTATTTCGATTCAGCAAAATGCAACTTCACAGAATCCCTCATATCTTCAACAGAGTCACAATCGAAACTTTCGAAGAACTCAACCAACTTCTTCAACTCATCATCCTCTAAATCATTCGTAAACGCCTTAATCGGAATTGCATTATCCGGCTGAAACTGATAAGAATTAGGGTTATCATCCACAATCACAACCTTATCCAACTCCCTCCCAAATTCAGACAAGTCCTTCACATATCTCCCATCAACTTCCTTACACGAATCCCGATAGAGCCGATGTGAAATCAGCTTCCTCCAATCGAGCTTATCGAGCACGAGCGAAGCGTACGCCTCAATCCCGGCAGTGAACACCACAATCTCAAACTTATCACTCAAAATTTTCAAGAATTCATCAACGAACGGCCTCTTTAAAACGTAGAAATCTGCTTTTTCTCCGTCAATTACGGGGCGGACGACGAAATCGTATTTTTCGGGCGGGAAATTTGCGGTGGAGTGGATTAGGGTTTCGTCTAAATCGAGAAAGACTGTCTTTTTATTAGGGGAGGTTAATGGGGGGAGGGGGGTTTTATTGTTGAAGAGGGTTCTGCGAGCTGTGGTGGTGGTGGTGTTGGGTGGATTTGTGGGGATTTTTTCGAGGATTTGGTAGCCCTTTTTGCGTGGGGTTTTCTTGGTGGGGGTGGCTATGCGGGCTAGCTTTGTGAAGATCTTGATGAGGCGGCGGTGGCAGGTGTAGAGGGATTTGTTGATTGAAGCGACCACCGCGGAGGCGGCGGAGGCGGTGGCGTTCTTGATGGGGGTTTTCTTGCTGCGGCGGTGGTGGTTGGGTGGGTTTTTCCGGTTCTTGAGGGATTTTGTGGGGGTTCTTTTTACTATCTTGGACACCATTGTTTCTCAAAATGGATCAGAAATCGGAGAGAGAGAGAGAGAGAGAGAGAGAGAGCGCTATGGGGTTTTGACAGGACGGTTTCTCTGGTTTCTGGGCAAGAAAGAAAACAGAGTGTAGTCTTTTTGAAAGGTAGGTTCGGGTTGCAACGGTCGAATTTACTTTTAGGTTCGGAACCGAAGCAGAATTCGGGAAGAAAAAGAAAATAAAAGTGGAAAGTAGTGTTTGACAGCTGGCATATTTAAATCCTTTAGGCGGGTATATTATACTATAGTATAGTTCATCTAATAAACAACTTTTACGGCCTAATCCCTATAATTATGCGTTTAAAATAATCTTATTTTGAAACTCTAATTTAATATTTACATTATTAAAATAAATAAATAAATAAATAAATAAATAAATAACTCGAAACTCTGTAATATAACTGAAGGGTAAATTACAAACACCCCCCTGAGGTAAGGTCAAATTACAAAAATCCCCCTCTTGTTTGGATAATTACATCTACCCCCCTCAACTACGATTTTTTCTTACACCTCCACCCTTATTGTGCCAAATTCAACATAATCATCTAGATTCTGTGGAATGTGCTCTAGTTTGTACTCATTTTGTGTAAAAATACAGTTTTCGATGCACCACAAACTGATATATACAAGCTAAAAATCACATATTATGATCATCTTGCTTCATAATGTAGAGTTTGAATGGGATAAAACGGGTACACAAGTGATAATATTCCATAAAATCTCGAAGATTCCACTAAATTTGAGGAGTTGAGGGGGTGGTTGTAATTATCCAAACAAGAGGGGTGTTTTTGTAATTTGACCATACCTCAGGGGGGTGTTTGTAATTTACCCTATAACTGAATAATAATGAATACAAATCAATAGCCATTTCAACTATATACAAATCTTGCTTTTAGCAATTAGCAGTGTCACAAAATACAAAGATAAAAGAATTAGAAGGTGTGTAATCTACCTTTTATACCTAATAATAAAAAAAAAAAAAGCACATTCCAGAACTTTCTAGCTTTGACTTGCACGAACATTCCGAGAAGCAGCATCTCCATTAGCATTAGCTTCTCTTAGTCTAATCTTCGGAATAATTATCGGTTTACAGCATAAGAGAGCGAAAAACAACTCCATTGTGAAAATCGCCATGCTAATCCATACAAACAATGTTTTCTTCCAATACCACAAGATTCTTTTCAGTAGAGGAAGTTCCGATTCCATGTCCACAGATGCATCGTATATTTCTGGAATACCAGCACCGGGCAAGTATTGAGCTCGTTGTTCGATTACAACCTTTAAAAAGGCCGTCGGATTGTCACGTTCTGTAAAACCTCGGAAATTTAATTTCAATTTCTGAGTTTCCGATGTATGTCCGGTTAATATAGGAGCAACCTTAAGCAATGTCAGAAGGAGGCGGATCGGTTGACTTTTGAATTGTAACATACACGGGCGTCGAGAACTTGCTAGGGTTTTGCCATCAACAGCAAGAAAATCTACTCTGACCTTCAGACGAACAAAACAAAATATCGATAAAATAGCCGTTTAATACAACTAGCTATAGTTTATCTGATTTCTGAAGATGACAGAACATGTAATAACTCTCGACTACAAATAAATTTTCATATCATTTAAGAAGATAACTATACTAAGCTGTCAAAACAGAGGTAAAAAGTTGCAAAATACGTACAATCGGATTCCAAGATCATCGTACAATATTCATATCCGAAACAAATCTCAACTACATAAGTGTGATATTGGTTCATATATACGAGAAATTAGAACAAACTAAAACAGATACCTGGAAAATCCCGAGATTTTGGTTGTACTCAGATTCGGGTAATGTCAACGAAACAGTAACTTTCAACTTGTGATTAGGCGGTACAACTCTCGATCTTTTAACATTCAAAATATCGGGCTTCTCTTCGAGGTACATGTCGTGGCTCAACTCTTGTTGAGTTATTACCGGTACGAATGCCACTGGACTCTTCTCCATAAAATCGAAATTCAAGCTTTGTTTCATTCTTATTGGATCCTCCACAAGAACCCTAATTAGAATCCCACCCATCACAAAAGCTGACACCAAAAATACCACCAATAAAGTACACACGTAAGCTGACCACAACAATCCCCAACCGCACTTCAACCCTAGTTTCCATATCGACCGGTGTTCTCTTATCCATTCAAACATAAACGGCGAAACAAATTCATGCACAAGTTTCCAAATTTGTTTAATTTTCTGAATTAGGCACTCTCTGCAGCTCAACAAAAGTCCGAACGGATTGAACACGAGCATGTACAAGTAATACACTAACGTTAAGGGGAACATGAATAATTTGACTGATAAATAAATTTGGAAGCTGATGAACTTTATCAGAATACCAGCTATAGTGAACAGAAGACTCGAATTCGTGTCGTGGTTTTCTCTCGAATTCGATTCGGTACTCACTAAATCTTCCCGTGTAACAACATTCGCATCTGTTATAGTAGAATGCTCCTCATTCCCCTGATCATCCTCTCCGTCTGAACCGACATTCGGAGATTCCGAGGTTTGATTAATTTCCAACGAATCCGAATTTTCCAAATTTTTGTTGTGTTCAATTTTTCGAGAATGCTTTCTCTTCCTTTCTATCGAGTAATTCTCCAACTCAATTGAGTCTTCGCCGGAATATTTCCGATCGGAGCGTGATTTCCGGCGGCGGAGGCCTGACCGAGGCAGGGATTTATCTGCCGGATATGGATTAGGATTTGCGGCAGAGATTGGAACGCCATCATCGGATTCGATTGGCTCATAGAAAAATTCAAGGCAATCATCTAAAGCGTCGTGAAATTCCTCGTCGTCGTCGTCGGCGTATTGCACCACCGATTCTGTGTCATCCATTCGAAGTTGATCAACCGAGTTGTGTATTAGAGCAGATCTCTTCTTTCAAAGGATTATCGCACCTCATGATTTACAGCATCTCCAAGCAAAAATAAAATAAAAAATCTGATCGAAAAAAAATCAAAAGGCGTTGAGTTTTTAATTCTCCGCTACTGAAGTTTCCATCTCTATTGACGTTGATTGCATTCACGCCGTCGTCCTTTTTCCCGGCAATATTCCGGCAAATTCCATTTTTTCTTCAATTGAAAAGTCTGAGAAGAATGAAATGAATTGGGGAAAACTAGAAATTAGGTTAACTGTGTGCGTTTTTGCAGCAAATGAGATCTTGAGGTTGTTTTTTTAATTATCTTTATTTTTAAATGTTTAATTGCTTATTAATTATTGTTATAAAATGCATTTTACACCCACATATATAAAATAATATATACAAATTTATGACGAGAAAATTGGAAAATTTATTCATATTGTGAAAATCCAATTATTTAGCACCACCACACAAATAAAATCCATATGATAGATACTACACGACAAAGAAAATATTTCGTTAGGTAGACAGGATAATTAATTCTTAATTATTAATTTTGTTAAGGGATTATTAGCAAGACCCATTCATCTAGGAAATGTAGTTAAGAAAACTCCACTTCCAAAAATAATTTGAGAAAACCCCATTGGTTAGTATTCCACCAAATATTACTTTTATAATTCCAAATTTACCCTTAATTGTTAATATACTATTTTGAAACCCTAATTTCTCTTTCCCAAATTCACACCTTTCACCACCGCCAATGCTTCTCCGCCGCCGTCCACCGCCGCCGCCGCACCAACCTACACCGTCCCTTCGTCGTTCCACCACTCAACCTCACTTCGTCTTCGCCATGCTCGACGAGGCTATTCACTACGTCAAGTTCACAGCCATATAGACAACAAGCAGAAGAGTTTATGTGCAGAATATTGCCTAACTCCCCTTACTCTACTACACAATACACACCAGGTAATATATTAATGTTGATTGTTGATTGTGTTCTCTAAACATTACAAAATGCATCCATTTTATTTCTTCTGTGTTAAATATGTATATCTACTCTGTACTACTTAAAATATGGAAGTGAGGTGGTGATGGTGTGGTGTGGCGACGACGTGGTGACGATGAAGAGCAGATCTAGGGTTTTTTAGTGAATTGTGGCGGAAGACGGCGCAAAAAAAGAAATTCGCGCAGGCAGAGCCCTTAATCGACTACGTGTGTTTAATCGACTATGTTCAATAGTCGATTAAGGCTTAATCGACTATGTTCAGTAGTCGATTAAGGTTAACCGACTCCAGTTGTTAACTTTTTTTTTATTTTTTTTATTTTTTGTTTATTGATTCCAATGTATAAATCAATTACAATGTTTGTGTATTTTTTTTTTTAAATATAGTTGTTTTTGCATTTTTTTTGTGATTGTGATTTGTTATTTTTAATAGCTAAAATTTTAATCGACTATGCATTAATAAACCTGATAGAGAAAAAAAATTAAAAAAACCAAAAAACATTTAAAAAAAAAATTAGAAACAAAAAAAAATTAAAAAATTAAAGATTTTCCTTAATCGACTATGAAGCATAGTCGATTTAAGACTAATCGACTATGCTTCATAGTCGATTAAAAAAACGGAAAAAAAAAAAAATTAATAATAATCGCGGAGCGCTGGCCCAGTGATGAGGTGGCGGGCGGGGGTAAAGCTGGAAAACATAATGACTGAAAATGGGTGTGGACTTTTCTCAAATGGACTAAAATATTTTGGGCCTCCCTCAATTAAAAAAAGTAGTGAGGGAGTTTTCTCAAAGAGCCCCTTTTGTTAAATCATTATCTGAAAATTACGGTCACGCCATGATGTATGGTCAAAGTACGAATAAAACCCCTAATGTTTGGATAATTACAACAAACCCCCAATTATGAATTTTCTTATAAGTTCACTATCATGGTTTTAAATTCACACAATCTTCTAGATTCGTGGCATATTATCTAGTTTGTACTTGTTTTGTGCAAAAATTCAATTTCTGATGCAGCACAAATTGATATTTACAAGTTAAGAGACATATTTTGTGAGGTAAAACGAATAAATACTAGAGAATATTTCACTAAATTCAACCCCTAAAAAATGATGTGTAAGAAAATTCATAATTAAAACGCATTGTTATAATTATCCAAATATGAGTGTTTTTTTCGTAAGGTCACTTCAGGGATAGCCGTAATTTTCCCATTACTAATTTGTTAAATAAATTATTATTTGACATCTTCGTTATTTGTCTACTGTGTAATAACAATCGACACGTCAGCTAATATCAGGTCCTCTGTCTGTACATCAAAGAACTAGTAAAACAAACTTGCCTATCTAATTAAACAAATAAATGGAAAATCAAGAACCAAAAAAAGAAATAATAATAATCTTGATCAAACTGTGAATCGAAAATTCAAAGTTGTCGAGCTATTGATTCAAACTTAATTTAATAATTCCATTTTCTCTTTGGGTCTCTATCAATTCTACCAACAGTTACTAAAAATGGAAACTAAATTATTGAACTTTCACACTATAAGTGCGTGTTAGTGTGTGTAAATTCTTAAATCTTGATTCTTTGGAGAAGATGATGATGCAGAGATACAAGGTTGTTTTTTGGGTTATTACATTTAGTTGTTTTGGGTTGTTCAAATTGTCCGAAACCCAGGTGCCACAAGAAGAAGGTAAGAACACCATTTTTATTTCTTTTTTCTTGATTAAAAAAAATAAAAATAAAGAATATTTGTAGTGCTATTAATAATTTAATATCCTGAAAATTCTGTTGTTTAATTTAATTTTGATGTATTGAATTCTTGGGTAATTAATAAAATTAATTATGCTGTAAAATTGTCCTTAATTAGTGGATGCTCTCCAACAAATTGCAACTGAAATGGGTGCAAAGTACTGGAAATTCAACGGCGGTTTATGCGAAGTCGAATCGGTCGGAGTTTCGGCGGCTCCTCCGAGTGGCTCCGAGGGTTATGTCGAATGCAACTGCAATTATAACAACAACACTATTTGTCATGTTACAAAAATGTAAAATAGTTTTTTTTTTCTTTTATGATTTATTTATATAAATTGCTCTAATTAATATGTTCTTTGATACGGAGATTACTTGTTTTAAGTTTCGGTTTTTCGTTTATTGCAGTGTGCTTAAAGGTTACAATCTTCCCGGAATTCTTTCAGCTAATTTCGTGAAGCTTCGTTACCTTCAAGAAATGTACGAGCTCTTTCGATACTTGCATTTAAATCAATGGAAGTGAAAATTATATAATTTGATCGATTGACTTTGTGTTTTTTTTGCCAGTGATTTTGCTTACAACTTCCTTAGCGGTGCAATTCCAATACAATGGGCTTCGTTGCAATTAACTTCTATGTATGCTCGATTTTTTACGTGTGACTTTGCTCTAATATATGTATACGTCTTCTTTTATATTTAGCAATACTTTTTTTTTCGTGTGCAGTTCTGTTCTTGTTAACCGTTTATCGGGGGAAATACCATCGGAGTTGGGGAATATAACTAGCCTCACATATTTGTATGTTACAACGAAAAAGTTAAACGTAATATTCGTCGTCTTATTCTGTACTTTTTAAGAGTTTAATCGACGATTTTTTTTAATAATCAGGAACCTTGAAGCAAACAATTTTTCAGGGAATATTCCTTCCGACGTTGGCAAGTTGATAAACTTGAAAACTATGTAAGACATTGTATCTCTATCGAACCCCATATAATATTATTCCGAAATTAGAGACGATGAATGCAATAAGATGATATACGAGGTTTTTATGGTGGTTAGCTCTATTGTTGATTTAATTTACAGGATATTGTCGTCCAACCGATTGACGGGGCAATTGCCAATGTCGTTCTCGCAACTAGTAAATTTAAACGATTTGTAAGCACATATACTATTTTTTTTTCCATTTCGTATTCGATAAAATATATATTTTTTTTATTGTATTCTCGATGATTCTTGATTTGAATTGCAGTAGAATAAATGACAACAATTTAAGTGGACGAATACCCGACTTTATACAAAACTGGAAACAACTTGACAGATTGTAAGTAATTTACGAAGACGATTTTTTTTTCCTTAAATGCAATCTAATATTTGATTATTTAAATGCTCGATGAAGAGAAATGCAAGCTAGTGGAATGGAAGGGCCGATTCCATTAAACATATCTCTTCTGAACGTATTAACCGACTTGTGAGTTTTTTATCCGATTCTCGTTTATTATTCGTGTATTATGCAACTTCTTAAAATAGACTAATGTGGGTTTTTTACATAACAGGAGACTTAGTGATTTACGAGGGCCGCTTCAAGAATTTCCTCTGCTAAGGAGCATTACAGGCTTAACAACGTTGTACGGTTATCGATGGTGCTTTATTCTCGTGCTGTTATTATTTCCGTTTTCTATAAGCTAATTAAGACTATTTTCTTCGATTTTTAGGATTTTGAGAAATTGCAATATTTCCGGAGAAATCCCGGCTTATATTTGGAGATTTAGAGTTCTGCAAATGCTGTGAGTAACCAATATTACGGAATTAATTTCATCGGAATTTCATTATTGATTATTATTTTTTGCATTTTCTGCTATTGACAGGGATGTAAGTTTCAACGAGTTAATCGGAGAAATTCCGGATGGAATTGCACGAAATCTGAAAACTGTGTGAGCTCAAGTTTAGTTACTTTTTTTCATTTGGTTAAAATAATACGATAAAAAATACGTTCGTTTTTACACGATATTCTTGTAAATAGGTTTGTTACTGCAAACATGCTGAGTGGAGATATTCCCGACACAATCTTGAAAGACGGAAGCAACATGTACGTATTTTTATGTCGGTTTTTTGTTTATGTAAGAAAATTGAGATCATAATATAATTAAATCAAGATTGAATTTTTCCTCTGCAGTGATCTTTCCTACAATAATTTTACTTGGCAAGGCCCTGACGAAGCTGCTTGTCTGCCGAACACGTTCGTATATCCATTTTTTATATTTCTCTATAATACTTTAATTCTGTAACTAATTACAAATTTACCGACTATTTTTTTTTCTTGCATTAGGAACCAAAACATCAACTTATTTAACGGCTCGTCGAATGGGAACACATTGTAAGATCATTTTATTACTTCTTTTTTTTTTTCTAATTAATGCACACATTAAAAGAAAATTCGACGCTAGTTATTCCGATGATTAATCATTGACAGACAAAGAATCCTCCCATGTTCGAGAAATGTAGCTTGTCCGAAATGTAAGTGTGCTGTCGTTTTTCATCTTTTAATTATTTTTTCTATATTTTTTTAATTATTTTATTTGCTTATGGCAGATAAATGCTCGTTACATGTTAATTGCGGTGGAGCTGATGTGGAAATTGAAGAGAGCAAAAGAAGAGTTATTTACGAAGGAGACACCGGAGATAATCCGGCAAAATATTTAAGTAATAATTATTGGGGATTTATTAGCACCGGAGATTTCTTAGACGAGCCTAATTACCAAAATACCCATCAAATAAGACCTACAACGACCACAAATCTCTCCGAATTGTACACCTCGGCACGCATTAGTCCGCTTTCGCTTACGTACTTCCATTACTGCCTCGAGGATGGAAATTACAATATCGCCCTCCATTTTGCTGAAATACTTTTTACGAACGACGAAACTTATTCTAGCCTTGGAAGGAGGATGTTCGATATATACATTCAGGTTTGTAATTTAATTTGTTTCAACATATTATTCAAATGGAACATTATATTAATATATACATCTCGAGGTGACTTGTAATTACTATTATACCCCTGTTTGTGCATCAGGAAATTTTAGTTTCGAAAGATTTTAACATCGAAAACGAGGCTGGTGGAAGTGGAAGGCCCGTGATTAAGTATTTTAACGCAACGGTGCGGGATAATAATATATTGGAGATTCGATTTTATTGGGCTAGTAAAGGGACTACGCGAATTCCGAACCGAGGAGATTATGGTTCTCTTATATCAGCTATTTCAGTCAATCCAAGTAATTGTTTTTTTAAATTTTTATTTTTTTATTTTTTCATATCGAGTTTATTTATTTAACTATTTGTCGGCGCAGATTTTAAGGTTTGTTCCGATGGCAACGAGAAAAATATAACGGCTTATATAGTAGGTGCAGTAGTTATAGTATGTATTATTTTCTTGATATTGGGAATCCTTTGGTGGAAAGGATTATTACAAGGCAAAAAGAAAATAAGAAAAGGTGATGATATTAATATTAACATATATATATTTCTGAAAATTCGAAAGATCGTTAATTCGTTTCTAACAATATTATTATTTTTTTGTCATGCATGCATGCGCAGGTTTCGAAGGTGTAGAATTGCAGACAATTGCATTTTCTTTGAAACAAATTAAAATCGCTACTAACGACTTTGATGCTTCGAATAAGATCGGAGAAGGAGGTTTCGGTCCTGTATACAAGGTATTAGTTTTCACTAAGATTTTTTTTTATATAAATTTTTTTTAATGAAAATAATTAATTGGTGCAGGGTTTATTACCCGACCGGACTGTAATTGCGGTTAAAAAGCTCTCGTCTGGATCGAGACAAGGAAATCGCGAATTTCTAAATGAAATCGGAATGATTTCTTGTGTGCAACACCCGAATCTTGTGAAGCTATACGGGTGTTGTATCGAAGGAGATCAATTGCTGCTCGTGTACGAGTATATGGAAAACAATAGCCTCGCCAATGTTTTATTTGGTAATTAGTAAATAATTTTTCCCTATTAAAATGAATGTCATTCGACATATTACATAAATGCGTGACATGTTATTTAATTTGTCAATTAGATTCGAATAAAAGCCAGTTGATTTTAGACTGGGCGACGAGGTTCAAGATTTGTATCGGAATTGCAAGAGGATTAGCTTATCTTCACGAGGAATCGAGGCTGAAAATCGTACATCGAGACATTAAAGCTACCAATGTGCTGCTCGATAAAGATCTAAACCCTAAAATATCGGATTTCGGATTGGCTAGGCTTAATGAAGACGAGAAGACACACATTAGCACCAAAGTTGCTGGAACAATGTGAGTTCATCTCATTAATTATATAACTTCTATTATATTTGCTCGAGTTTATTGCATTTAGTACCCCTGTGTTATATCGAATTGCTAAAAATCTCCCTGTGTTATTTTTTTGGCAAAACAACCCCTTACAATTTTTTTAGCACATAACCCCCTAAATAGTGAATCATGGGGGTGTTTTGCCAATAAAATAACATGGGGAGTTTTTTGACAATTAGAAAAAATATAGGGGCGCCGAATGCAATAAATCCTTTATTATATAACTCTCATACAATTAAAGTGAGTTTATTGCAATTAGTACACTCTGTTATATCGAATTGCTACAAAATTACCCCAAATTATTTTATTGACAAAAACTCCCATGATTTAAATTTTTGTTAGCAATTAGTACCCCTGTTTAAGGGGTTGTGTGCCAAAACAAATTGAGTCATAGGGGTTTTCGGTAATAAAATAACATGGAGTAGTTTTTTAGTAATTCGACATAACACAGAGGAACCGAATGCAATAAACACTAATTAAGGTACTTAATTTAATCATAATTGCAGAGGATATATGGCACCTGAATACGCGCTATGGGGTTATCTGACAGACAAAGTCGACGTGTACAGTTACGGAGTCGTGCTTTTGGAAATCGTAAGTGGGAAAAGCAACAATAGTTACATGCCTAGTGACAGTTTCATCTGCCTACTCGATTGGGTACTCGAGAAAACATCCTTAAACTCCTCACTTAAAATGTACTTCCATTTATGGCAATCATTTGACAGTTTTTTTTTACTTTTTTTTGGAAAGGCGAGTCATTTGCAAGAAAGTAAAAAAGTCGATGAACTAATCGACGAGAGATTAATGGGTACGGAAATCGACAAAGACGAAGTAGAAAGAATGGTTAGAGTGGCATTGCTTTGTACTAACGCCACTCCGTCGATTAGGCCAACAATGTCTGAGGTTGTGCTAATGATCGAAGGGAATATGGATATTCCGAATAATAATGCAGTGTCTGAAGGAAGTAGTGATGTCAGATTTAAGGCCATTAAAGAGTTCCAACGAGAGAGGCGAAGTCAAAGTACTTCGTCTCGAGGTCGAATCGAGAAGTCAACGGTATTAGTACCTGGAGATGTTGGTTTTTCTTCGTTTGCTTCTGATATTTATGAAAGCACTAGTGATAGTGTGGTATAACTTATAACTAGTTGTGAATGGGTCATGATATTGTATTACATTCTTTTATGGGAAAAATGCAGTTTTTGTCCCTCAAATTTGCATCTTTCACGTTTGGTCCCCCATGTTTACAAAAAAACACATTTGATCCCTTATATTGCAAAAAAATCAACATTTTTAGTCCTCTTCGTCAATATCCCATTAAAACTAACGGAATCAAGCGTGTGCCCATCACTTCTTAACTAACAGACTAACGATAAATTGACGCAAATGACAAAAAATGTTAAATTATTAGTACATGAGGGACCAAATATGTTTTTTGTTAATATGGGGACCAAATATGAAATTGGTGTAAACTTGAGGGGTGAAAGTGCAATTTCTCCTTCTTTTGTTATTATTGTGTTAAACCAATATCGTAAGTACGTTTTTTGTTTATATTTGCAAAAGAAAACGTGTCAGATTTCACAAGAGTTCATTACTTCATCACTTCATGCAATTAACCACGTGTCAAGAAATCCAAGCCACGTCATCAACCACCGCATGCCTACGTGGCAGCAAAACACCTCTCCCTTCAACCCCCTATAATAACCACCGCGCGCTCTCTTCTGCAAAATCTTCAACCCAATTTTTTTTTTTTACAAAATAATAGTTTATGGATACAAGTGGCGGTAAAACGGCGGCGGGTGGTCACCACGGCGGCGATCAGATCCCGCCGGGGAAGGCGATGACCATCGGCCAGCACATGCTAGACAAAGGTGCACAGATGATGCAATCTCTGAAGCCCATAAAGCAAATGAATCAGCATCTCTGTACTTTCGCTCTCTACAGCCACGACATGACTCGCCAGATCCAGACTCACCACTTCGTGACTCGGCTCAACCAGGACTTTCTCCAGTGCGCCGTTTACGATTCCGACGATTCCACCGGCCGTCTCATTGGTCCATCTTCAATTATTAATTAAACGCATGTTTAATTAACTAATTACTCAGATTAATTAAATTAATTTAATCCGTTAACTGACTCTGTGCAGGAGTGGAGTACATTGTATCTGATAAGATCTTCGAGAGTTTATCTCCAGAAGAACAGAAACTATGGCATTCCCATGCCTACGAGGTTAATTAATCAATTATTAATTAATTATTTCACTGATGATGAAATTAAAGCTTAATAATTAACGATAATTAATTTGCAGATTAAATCAGGGATTATGGTGAACCCTAGGGTACCAGAAATTGTTCTGAAACCCGAGCTTGAAAATCTGGCGAAGACCTACGGCAAATTCTGGTGCACGTGGCAAACGGACAGAGGTGATAACCTTCCGATGGGTGCGCCGGCGCTGATGATGTCGCCGCAGGCGGTGGATATCGGGGTGGTGCGGCGGAGCTGGTGGCGGAAAGGAACGAGAAGTACAGTATATCGAGCGAGGGTTTGAAGAAGTCGAGGATTGAAATAGCGGAGCCGGAGTGGATTAATCCTCAGGCGGATTACTGGAAGCAGCACGGCAAGGGTTTCTTCGTCGGCGTTGAGTCCACCGAGATGAAGAAAATTGTTCCCTTCCCCTGAATTTTGTATTGTATATATTTTGATTTTGAATTTGCAGAACTTGTATCTATCTGTGTATGTAATAATGTCGGGTTGTACCCGTTTTTGGTTGTGACCCGACTCGGATTGGCAAACAGAAGTTGGATCTGGGCCTGTGTTGTTTCCGGGTAGGGTCGGTTTATAACTAATATAATCTGGGCCGGTCTTGGGTTTCTTAGGCACTGGCCCAAAGACGAGAATTAGAAGAATATAAAATGGAATCTTTTCTTTGATACTTTTATGCTATTTATATAATAATCTTTAATAACTTGGTTTAAAATAAAAACGTTTTTCAATTAAGTTTATTATTGTTAATATAATTTTTTTTTTTCAAAAATAGTGTCTGGCTCAAATTTATTTTAGATCGATAATAAACTCTTATATTTTGATAAGCTGTTTTAGGGCTGATAAATTGTTTTGACTAATTTTTTAATGTTCCTTATTTTAAAATTTTATTAAAAAAATTATCCGATCTCCAAAAAATTAATTTTTTGAATTTCAATATTAAAAAAGAAATTGACAAACATTTTGGAAGAATTTATAAACATAGTTTTCGGCGAGGGTTAATTGTTGACCGAAATAATTGACGTGGAAGATTAAATATTTTAATTAATAATATTCGTGAATAAAATGCTGCACCGTCAGCTGAGTAATTTTATTGACTTGGTCAAAATTCAAATATTATATGAGATAAGGCTAAAAAAGTCAAACAACTAGGTCTAGTTGTATTTTATTTTCTTTACCCCATTTCGGCATTTCCTGCAACTTGCAAATTAGATTCGCTACTTATTATTCTTTATTTAAAAAAAAAATAAAAAAAAATAGAGAGTTGAGAGGGAGGTTACGATCACGCGCCTTCCCTCACAGCGTGAATTCGCTGTATTTCTTCTTCTTCTTCTTCTTCTTCAAGTTTGTCAACGTTAACCAGGGTCGACCTCTCCAACTACCGCGCTCCACTCTCATTTTTTTATTTATATTTTTATTCACGCACCCGTTGTTGTTACTGTTGAATTAATTTTTTTCGTCCCCACAATCTAGCTTAACGACCTAGTTTTGGGTTTTGGGTTTTGGGTTTTCCGTGATTTGTCCAAATTTTAGCTTTTCGTAGATATATAGCTTCAATTCACTGTAGTTGATAAGTTTTTCGGTGGTTTCTACTGTATAATTTGATTGATTCGGTGTTGAAATTTCGACCCTTGATCTATTTAGATCAGATTATTTTTGGGCGTTTTGCTATCCTTCTGATAAACCGATTTCCAATAATACCCAATTTCAGGATTTACAGCAAGTTTCTGATTCGCAAAAGGAATTCGTGATTTTTTTTTTTTTTTTTTTTTCAAAAATTGTTGATTAAAATTTGCGATGGAACCCGATAGCGCTCTGTGGAAGCAATCGTCTCTGGCGCCGGAAAAGGAGTACGAGGAACTTGATGACGTGGACTCCGAGCACGAAGAGAGTGATGTGGAAGACATAGATTCAGGTCTGAAGCTGATGTACTTGGTGAATGCGGGTGATTTGGACAGCATCAAGGAGCTTCTGGACTCTGGTGCTGATGTCAACTTCAGGGACATCGATCACCGGACAGCACTCCATGTTGCTGCATGCCAGGGGTATGATGACGTGGCACACTTGTTGCTCCAGAACGGGGCGCTGGTCGACGCCACCGATCGCTGGGGGAGCACGGTATAAAACCTAAATCTCGAAATGGACTGACTTAATTTGTATGAATTGCTTATGTTTGCTGTGGTATATGATGCTGTTTCTTGAAAATCGATTGTTTCGGAATGTATAAACTGGTATTGGTTTTACTTTACCGAGATGAGTCTTCGAGTTATAAGTCGTTGTGTTAAAGACTTCTTTATAGGAGGAGGTGTATGTTTAAGGTGAAATGAGTTAAAATCCTATTATATGCTGAACGGGCTGATATTGATTCGATCTTATGGTCAATTTTCGTGTGGTCGTTTAGAAACTTGAACAGAGCAGTTCTGCTGCAATTACTAGTACGCTTATCTTAGATTCATTTGTAGAACTTCGGATTATGCAGATTATGCAAACTACCATCAAATTAGAAACTCGAATTATTTGATGGATTCGAATATAAATCATTGTTCATGTTCTTAAACAGCCACTTGCAGATGCCATACATTATAAAAACCACGTCGTGATCAAACTACTGGAGAAACTCAGTGCTAAGAATTTGGTTAGTAACTTATTTATTTTACACACCACATCGTTTTGTTTTTCATTTATCGATTTTTCTTCGTTATTTCTCTTTCTTCACTTTGGTGTTTAATGTTATAACGTGCTTCGATTAGATGGCTCCCATGCATGTTGAAGATGTTCGTGAGGTACCTGAGTACGAGATTCCTCCAACTGAACTTGATTTTACCAACAGTATTGAAATAACTAAGGTAACTTTTACTCTTATTATACATATATTTTTTATCGTAAACGCTAATCGTTTTCTTCCATTCCGTCTTCTTTCGTACATTGAGTTATTATCTAAATCTATTTTAGGGAACCTATAGAATAGCCTCGTGGCGTGGAACCCAAGTCGCTGTAAAAACGTTCTGGGAAGGAATTGCTGACGAGGATAAAGTGTGAGTTTCTTTGATAATACAACATACTATGTAATAATTACAACAACATATAAAGGTAACTTAAACTTACTATGGTATTTTGCAGAACGGCATTTCGAGACGAGCTTTCGTTGCTTCAGAAAGTGAGACATCCAAATGTTGTTCAATTTCTTGGTGCTGTTACACAAAGCAGTCCTATGATGATCGTGACGGAATACTTGCCTAAGGTGTTCATACTTTATTTTATTATTATTGTTTCTCTCGACGTTTTCTCCTTTATTTAAGGACATTTATATTTAATTTTAAACTGGATTATATTGTAATTGAAGTAACGTTGGCATGTTAAGAGTGAACTCAGTCTACATATGGATAACAGAGAGTTTTGTCTTTTTGCTGAAATCGAATGATTCTGTGTTTGAGCAGGGTGACCTTCATGAATATTTGAAAAAGAAAGGTGCACTAAAACCTGCTACGGCTCTCAGATTTGCTATGGATATTGCCAGGTTCTTCATATTATTACCACAATTTTTTTGATGAAATTTTTGGATGAAAAACGAAAAAAATAAATTTAATAATTATGCTGTTGTGACACTTGTGAGGAAAAATAGGAAATAATCGATTTTTCGTTTGTTTCGTTTTCCTGCAGGGGATTGAACTATCTGCATGAACATAAACCTGAGGCAATTATTCACCGTGATCTTGAACCTTCGTAAGTTACCCTTCCTATTTCTGCTACGCAAATGGCAATTTTTTTTCTTTTTTTAATTATATTTTATGTTGTGTTTTTTTAATAAGTTTCTAAAAGCATTTGCTGTTACGTATGAGTAAGATAACAGGAATATCTTGCTGGATGATTCGGGACACCTCAAAGTTGCGGATTTCGGAGTTAGTAAGCTTCTTCAAGTTGCTAACAGCATTAAAGAAGACAAGCCTATTACTTGTCACGATACTTCTTGTAAGTTGTCGGTTTTTTTTTTTTTGGTAGTTTTAAATGATTATTTTTTTATATATAATAACGACCATTGAATTGACAGGTCGTTATGTGGCTCCTGAGGTTTTCAGAAACGAAGAGTACGGCACTAAAGTCGATGTTTTCTCATTTGCATTAATTCTGCAAGAGGTAATCGATATTATGCGTGATGTGGATTCTCTTTTTTGTTTTTTTTTTTTTATAAAAAGGGTTTGATTTGTTGATCTTTTGTGATGTGTCCTAAAATCTTAGATGATCGAAGGATTCCAACCGTTTTATACTAAAGAAGAATTTGAAGTACCGAAATCTTACGCTTTAAAAGAACGCCCTCCTTTTAAAGCCTCCGCGAAGCATTATGCCCATGGATTAAGACAGTGAGTTGTTCTATTTCGAAAATGTTAAAACTCGATTAAAAAAAAAAAAGAAAGAAAGAGGAATTAAAGCCTTATTACAAGCAATATGATTTTCTTACAGTTTGATTGAGGAGTGTTGGAATGAAAATCCGGCTAGCAGACCGACATTTAAGAAAATTATTCCTCGTCTTGAGGCCATTTACAATAGATTCGGCCATAGAAAAAGTTGGAAGGTATTTATTTATTATATTTTTTTTTTCCGTTTATTAGGTGTTGTAACTTATAATAATTTACAGGTGATGAGGCCGTTGAAATGCTTTCAAAATCCGGATTGGAAGAAAAACGGGTCGAGTACAGGTAGTCGAAGCCATTCGTCTCGATCCACCGGTGGATTCTAAACACTAAGTAGTCATTTTCATAAGAAGGTACATTTTCTTTTAAGACAAAACATCTATTGTGATTTGTGTGAATTTATTTAGGATTAAAAAGTGAAGAATTTCGACACGTTTTATTGGTTGTGGGGCTCGGAATAAGTGATAAGCCACTTATTCTTTGTGCTGTTCTTGTATTTAAATTTGTGTAATATATTGAATATTTATTGCAATAAAGAGTCTAAAGTGCAATTTTTCATGTATTTAGAAATAAGTTTTAATTTTGAAATAAATAAATATATAATAATTGTTGTCATCTTCCAATATATGTGATTGATGAGTGCACCTACTCTTTGGAGCACTATTGATTGCCCATAACAATATATGTATCATGGGTTTGGTAAAGGGCCACAAAAGATATTACAAAAGATGTTTCAATATAAGAAGCAATAATATGCATATATTATATATCTACCGTGGCTTCTTCTTCTTTTTTTTTTTTTTTTTCCTTTTAATTTATATAAATTTCCAAAACTAAAGCAGCAGCACAGATAATTTGCTTATCTTAGTATTTGGTAAACTGGTTTAAGAAATTAATTAGCATCTGATTGTAAGTTGTAAGAATAAATAAGCGAAAGTAAGAATATTCTTCGGGTGATAATCTGATGCCATATCAGTTAAACTTGTCAATCATGGAGAATAAAATGTCATAAATAGAAAATAAATAATTAAATAAATAAAAGGCTGGAAATAATAAATAAATGAATGGAGTAGTGGGGTATTAAATTAATTTGATTAAGATATGTGCATTAATTGAAACCATTCAAATATCAACATCAAGAACCCTAAAAAAACATATCAGGTTTGATTTTTGTGGTCCATTGTTGAAAATAACATTTGTCCACACAAGACTTTTAGTAGGTAATTTTTTAATTACATTATTAGAATTAATAAATTACAATTATTCATATGAAAAACATTCTATTTGACAAAAAAAATATCAGTCGAAAATTACGGAAGGGACATGATTCGAACCGTAGTCGTTGATTCTGGTAGTGGGAATTAACCTTATTTAGTGGTTGACTAATTTGGCTTTCGTAAATTAAATTAAATTATGAAACAACCCTTGAAATTTGTGGTTTTCGTTAGAACATCCTTTATTTCTTGAAATATATAGTAATATGGTCCCAATAGTAGAGATAAGAGAAGATTTTCTTGTTATGACCATGTGGAATTTTTGATAATTGTCGAATTCTTCAATTTCAAATATACCCCGCATTGCAATATTTTGGTAATTTTCTTAAAATATCATCAATGCCGAGTGAATATAATGTATTTCGAAGGTGTAATCACCAAAATACGAGGATAAAAATGTACTTAAAAACTGCAATTTCACTATTCACTTCGTAATCTTCGATAACGAGGGGTCAATTTGGCACCATTGGACCGAACTCCCCTACCCGAGTTAGTGGGCCAAAATCCCAATGGGCGCCGAGAAATGTTGGATGAGCTGATGAAGAATAGTTCGGCATTATTGGGCCGAACTCTTAATACTTAGATTCATTGGGCCGAAAACCCAACAAACCACGAGGAACCAAGTAAAGCCAAGAGATCGCTCTATACGCCTCGAGCTCGTCTGATCGGTGTTC